CCACACATCTGCTCACGGAATGTGTCGCGCGATGACCTGATGGTGACGGTAACCTTGATATGTTCCAACTTAGTGGCCATCTCAAGAAGAGCGTCAAGGTCGTCGAGCCGCTTCAGAATGCTGCGCCCGACGAGGTCCGTCTCAGTAGCGCGTTCGAGAGCCTGAGCCTCCGTTGTTCTACAGGCCCGCGCGATCTGATTCTGGACATCCTCCACCGTGTGCTTCTCGTCGTTCCAGAGGACCAGTGCGTATTCGGGGTGCCCCGAAGGACCTTCGCCGTAGATGCTTGGAGACAGGCGCGAAAGCTCCTCGTCGGCTTGGATAGAGTCGGCCGTCTTGCCCTGCCGCAGCTGCTCTGGTGAGCATGATATGACGTCGCAGATATAGTCAAAGACACGGCCAATCGTCATCTGCATGTTCTGCACCAGGTCCTCGGGAAGACCGGCCGGTTCCTTTCCCTTTCCCTCGCCCTTCTCCGGACTCGTCTCGGAGTGAATCGTACAGAACATGGGGAGGCGCCATGCCTCGTCATCGCCACAGTCACAACATCCACTGTTGCCGACGGAAATGCTGATGCGAACCATGTGCCCGGCGTGATCGGTCGAGTCGAAGCATCGGCTGCAAAGGACGCAAGTATCATCGGTGCTGCAGGTCCTACAGGAGTATGAGGCTTCTCCGGGCTTGAAGATGTGGCCGCATCGCTTGCCGCGGGCGGCTTCGGTGTATTCAGCGCCTTCCTCTGCGCCCTGAGCATCGTGGAGCTTGAGGTTGTGCGAAGGACGTCCAGAGGGAAAGAAGAGGGGCATGTATCGCTCGCCTCCTGCCAAAGACCAAAATAGACTTTCCAACAGGTCGTGGTGCGCTTGATCGTCGTACTCGTAGTTCCATCTTGCGGGAAGCTCTCGGAGAAACTCACAGAGCTGGCGCTCTTGAGTTGACATTGGGGTTTCCATTATAAGTGATTGGTCATGGCTCCCTTTCTCAGGTTTCGTTGTAGGAAAGAGTCGAATCCCCGGGAGGGAGAAGGGCTGTTCGTGCAAATAGGGCGTGTATGAGGGTGGTTGTTGTTTCTGGAGCCCGGTGATGTGCGATATTGCGTATCGGTAGAGCTCTGGCGGGGTCTTTTTGGCAAATAGTGGCGGGTCGCTTGTACGCGGTGAGTAATCTGAGGTGGGCTGGAGGACGGAAAATGGTAAGCGCCTGGAAGGCCTCTTGGATTCAAGAAGCAACTAAACTTAAGAGACTGCAGGAGATGCTTACTGGCGAAGGGAATCCAAGAGGGATCTTCACAGGCAATAGCGGTGACGTTTCTCTCTCGAAGGAAAAAGAAAAAGGCGGCAGTGAATGTGTTGTTAAAAGGTGGTTGACACTACGAGTCCCGGCAGAGTACAAGCACAGGTACACTCGGGCGGGAGCTGGGAGGTGCTGGCGCGTTTGGTGGGGTTGGGTTAGATCAGCGGGAGACTACGTTTGAGCTGGAGAAGGTGAAGAGGTGGTAGGGGCATGGGTATCTCCCGTTTGGGCGAACACAGTGACCCGGTCTCTGTTTGGCAGCACATGTCACTATTCACTATGACATTGTGCCTAAGTACTTTGGGGGAGTTTCAGTACGCTAGCATGTTAGGTATCTCAGGTAGGCACGGAGAAGATAGCCCAACTGCATGTGCTTGCTTCCATTCCATTGCTTTGACCCCGCCAGAATATCTCAAAGACATGGATCTCACCGTTTGTTTCGTCCAAGAATCTGAATCCATTGAATACCTCGCAAGGACAGAAAGAAGCATTGCATTCAGAAAGTGTGAGGCCAGAGCCAAGTATCATGTTTCAGTCTGACATTCATACATGTTGAGAGAGAGTCTTGGGAAGGAAAACTTTGACTTCTGTTAATATTCGTCAACTCAGGATCAAATACACGATTTCGCTATTGATATCAGACAGCTAGAGGCATTTCCTACCATTTCGCTTGTCCTTTATTATTGAGCTCGCACCAACATCACCAAAAAAACATGATCCACCTTTCCCTAATGTCTATGCCACTCCAAAGATGAGATAGAATGTCACAGCGCCTTCAACTTCTCCAAGTTCTGCTTCCCCATCACTGTCACCAAGCCAGCCGCACAAATTCTTTGCAGCTTCGAGTAATCGCAATAAGTCCGACCTGTCGGGAGAGTCGCTGCGTTTGCTGCGATTACTGCACTCCACGACCGCTTCCGCCCATTCTAGCAGCTGCGACATGGTTGTCGCTGCTTCCCGCTTCTTCCCCCTACCCATGAATTCGTTTAGTGCGTCTACGTTGGCTTGTTCCCAAAGATGATTGCAAATCCGGCCGGTGCTCTTCAAAAGCGATTCAGTCGAGACCGAGTCGCTGGCGGCGGAAGACGCTGAAGACGAAGAATAATGGTGCAAATCTCGTTGAACGGGTCGATCGTAGGGGCCGGGGCGACGACTGCCTCCACGAATCCTTCTCAAGCAACCCCCCCTTGAATTGTCTCTGCGCTCTTCTCTGCGTTCTCTTCTGCGATCGTTTCTGGCTTGCCTGCGTCGTCGTTCGTGATACTTCTGGCTAGCTCGTAGACAAATGTCCTGAACCGAGCGAATCCTCATTGCTAGAGCATGCCTCTCCTTATGAGATTGGAGTCGTGCGAGAAACCGCAAGAAGCCGTCATCCAACGCGCCAAAATCCGCCACGGATATGTCCATGTCATTTCGGTGCGGAATTTGCACAGTTAATGGCGCAAGTGGCATGCCCTGGATAGTGCGTCCAGCCAGAGCGCGTCGTTCAAGGAGAGAACCGGCGTGGAGTTGTGAATCAAAGTGAGGTGACATAGGCGAAGCTTGTACAGTCATTGAGTTCACACAGGGCGCCGAATTCTGATCCTTTGGTCTGAACGCAAGATTGTAGATGAATGTGCTGGGTGAGCGCTGAGGCTCGGGTTCTCTGCCGTACTGCTCCATGTTGAATGTTGATTATCAACGCCACTTGGAAGGTCAACCTGAGTTAGAGGATCTTACAAGCCGTATTTGTATAGAACCGGACGTCGAGCGACCGAGGCCTCTTGGTCAATTTTCTCGGAAAGAACTGTCGAGAACGTGTCACTAGGTGCTAGCATGTCAGCTCACAATATGGAGGTGAGTATCTGAAACATCGTGGTATTTCCATTGAAAGCTTGCTATGAAAGGTTGTCTAAGTGCTCCAAATGACGATTCTCCCGTCGACACCGCTGGCTTCATCTCTAGTTAGCATTCGACACTAGTGAACAAAGGGATTCTGAAACTTACAGGTAAACTTTGTCAAGTTACCGCCAGACTCTTCATAGGAACGAAGTGTGGTGACAGTGTTCTGATGTACCGTCTTGAGCTTGGTATCGTCCGTAGCCTTGCCCTTGAGATCCATCTGCCTGAACATGTTGAGCGCAGACTCTTCGCGGGCGTCGCTAAGCCCGGGTCGGCCCTTTGACTCGAGAGTACCGGCAAGGCTCCAGCCGCCTTCGCCGCCCTTGAAGCGGAAGGCTTCACAGTCGTAGCCTGCGGCAATGATCTCGTCCTCTGAGCTCCACAGAAGGCTCATGAAGGGAAGCAACTGGGTGGTGATGGTGACAACGGCGCGGGGAGGCTGTTCAGGGGCACTGGGGTATACGACAGTAATGCTGCTATCGTGAGCAGCAAACGCCAGGGCATTTCCGCTCGGCGAAAAGGAGACAGAGTGAACCCAGCCGGCAGAGTTGTTCAAGTACTCTCCGCAGACGGTGTTGAACGGCAATCTTTCACCCCAAGCGGTCGGCTCGGGGCGGGCGTCGACACCCTTGATGAAACTGGAAAGAACTCTGGCGTGGGCGTCGGTAGATCCGGCAGCAAGCAGAACGGAGTTTGGGTGCCATGCGACGGATGTGATGGTGCTGCGAATGGGCTTCTTCAGGTGCTTCGATACCCACCAGTCGTTCTCCTCCTCGAAGTAGCAGACGGCAATCACGCGGTCGCCCGATCCGACGGCGAACTTGGTCTCGGAGGGGGACCATCGCACAAAGGTCGCGGCGCGGCTGATTCGGAGGAGGACAAGTGTGGGCTTGTATCCGGTAGGCGAGGGCTCCCAGACAAGAGCATTTCTGTCTATCGCGGGAGGTCAGTTGCTATTCTCGACTCGGAGACAGGACAGAATTAGCGCGCATTGACATACCTTGAGAGCAGGAGACAATGCGGCCGCTGTTGGGAGCAATGTCGACACTCGTGACGGTCTTGTCGTGTCCTTTGAGCTCATCCTTGAGCTTGAAAGAGTTTCCAGTAGGTCCGTAGAGCTCAATGGTAGAATCGCGAGCGATAGCCAGCGTCTGGCGGTCGGCAGAGAAGGAATGGTCCGCGATGGGCGCGTGGAAGAGGTGGTGAACCTGAGGGGCCGCCATGATGAACGATTGCTTCGTGATAGGAGTATAGCTCTCTACTACCACGATCTAGAATGAGTCGGAGGTTGTTGAGGGAGTGTGGAAAGAACAGAGTTGGCGATGTTGGCAGATGAAGTGATCGCTTGAGGCAGTGCTAGTTGATGCTGGCTGGCCTCCGTCCAAGCAAGGCAATGTACCTATCTCCCCAGGCTCTACATACGTAAGGTGCATGCATTGCATACACTACAACGTACCGTCTGGGAGGTGCACATTGGTGGGGCAGAGAGGGGCGTTACGTAGGTAGGTTAGGTAGGTCTTCCGACAGGGCAACATGGCATTCGCACCATTCTCCTTCGTGCACAGCTCTGAACCTAAGGCCACACCCTGGCGTCCATGGTATCGATTGGCAGCGCTAGCAGTGAAGCTCCGAAGGCTACTCGACTAACTACAGTGCGGTGGCCGGACGTTCATCACAAAAAATCGGTACCGCGACGATTCAACGAGGACGAATATCACTACGCGCCACCTCGAGACCATACCCACACCGAACACACACTGTCGAGCAATTGACGATTTCCGCAAAGGCCTCATATCATCTCACACTTCCGTTCATCATACTGCACAATGGCAGCGGTCGCCCCTCCCCGTGGCCTCGCGCCAAACGCATCACTACCCGCCAAAGTTGCAACTGTTGCTCCGAACCAGACGTAAGTCAGAAACCCAGGAAACAAGAGGCAATCGCTAATGATTGTAGGCTATATGTCACAAATCTCCCGTCGAACAAGATACAAAAAGCTGACTTGCGAACCGAACTTTACTTGCTGTTCTCCACATACGGCCCCGTTCTCGACATCGTCGCCATGAAGACCATGAAGATGCGAGGGCAAGCCCACATCACCTTCCGCGATATCCAGACAGCGACCCAGGCCATGCGCTCCCTTGAAGGCTTTGAGTTCCTCGGTCGGCCTCTGGTATGCGACCTTGAGAGTAGAGGATCATAAGGGATTTCGCTGACGAGACCGTGAACAGAACGTCCAGTACGCAAAGTCCAAGTCCGACTTCGTCGCCAAATTAGACGGCACATACAAGATGCCAAATTCGACAGCAGGAGCTTCCAGCACCGAAGTGACGGATCTTCAGAAGAGCATCTTCAACGCTCCCGCACCTGGTGCCGCATCAGCAGCGGCCACGGGGGCCACCACGACGAAGCCGGCAGCCGGTGATGATCAAACCATGGCTGACGCGCAGACGGCTGATGCAAGAGGCCAGAAGCGGACCAGAGACGAGGAAGAAGACGAGGACAGCGATGTTGCCATGGAAGAGGACAGCGACGACGATTGAGGATTTCAGCCTTGCATTTCAGTTCAAACAGGGTGAGAGAAGGCAGGAAGGTCCCGGCGGCGGTGAGCTTCAGTCGGTTGGATCCAGGGCCATCTCTTTGGGCACCCAGAGCCCGACGCATCCGCCAACCAGGCCGAGCCATAGCATCATGTACTGCTCCTTGGAACAGTTGAAGCCCGACATGGCGTCACCGAGGAGGCATGGATGGATGAAGAATGACGGTAATCCCGTGAGAGGGTGGTGCTGCGACCTCGATTGTTAGTACAGACCTACAGACGGTCTCTTTCAGAAGATTTAATTGACTGGTCCGCAGCTGATGCACACTTACGTCGCCGGAGATCCCTCCAATTCCGCTAGACCGTCGGAGAGCATCCTTGAACTGATCGGGCACCAGTCTTCGAAAGACAGTGTCAAGGTTGAATGCAGGCTCGTCGGCTGGCAGTCCGTGTAATGTGAACCACAGGCAAGGCATCCGATATGTGGGATGCCAGTGCACTTCGTAGACGACGTGACCGGAATCAGGAACGTGTGACCTGGAGAGCGCAGCCTGCCATATGTGAGTGAACATAAGCAGCGTGTCGTATAAGAAGAGCCTAGAACATTACCTCGTCGGATTCTTCAGCATCAATCATGGCCTCATCACCCAGTCCTAGAGCATCCTTTTCTGAAGCACCATCGCCAAATGAAAAATTATCCAGAACGGATGAGAGATCGCCGCAGTCCAAAGTAGCCTCGAGTGGCCGGATGATTTGCAAATAAGTAGTGTATTCAACGCCCGAGGCGAATGATGTATCAAGTGCCGTGCATACCCTCATTTTCCAACGCCGTCGCATCGGGCCCAAGGTAGCACGGCAATACTGGCTATCGAAATGATGGCATATTTCGGAAAACTCCTCAGGAGTCAAAAATGGAAAGTCCTTAAACGACATTTTTAACGTAGACAATGTGTGCCCTCCAGAGTTGAATTTGTGTTTCCCTTGTTCGTGTGAAATAGGTCCAAATATCCCTGAGAACTCGACTGATGGGGATGCAACGTCGACTGTAGGGGAATGATCAGTCGTGGCACTGGAGGGCAGACTCGACTCTCCGTTGGCTCACACGTATAATGTGAACATAGACCGAGTCGATTTCAGGGTTCTCGATGCGGCAGACGTCTATTTTCCCGGGCCGTATCCCTCTTGAAGTTGAAATGCTCGGATGCAGGCCATCGACTGTACGACGAGTTGGGTGTCGGTTGTGCCCTTGAGAGCCCCACTGGCCTCAAGGTACGGATACCCAATCTTTAAGTCGGCTACTTCGTTCCGGTACGTATCTGATAGTAGTAGCACTTTGCAACTTGAATGGGAGACCGTCCATGCCTGAAACTCTTTCTTCGTCACTTTGTCTGTATATCAAAGGCTCCTACCTTAGATTGAGCCCTTCTGTCCTGCCTACCTGCTGGTGACAGTGAAAGATGGCCAACACGACAGTTCCAGTGCCAATTTGCCAGTGACACTGCCTCTTGGGAATTCCATCTGTCCCAGCGTCGGAAGGATCGGCACGTACTCCGTATTTGTCCCGGCGAGAAAAAACTACAGGGCAGGCTCCAAGCCGGCCGTGGCTGAGTGCTATCCGAGGTAAGGGTACCTATTTGACGGCAGAAGGCTACTCGCTACGGGCGTACACACGGAGAGAACCGCTTCCACTACAGCTATGCTGCTGCCATTGCCAACCTGTGGGTCTCCTGCAGACCTGTGACCAGCTTGCCAGCCTACCAGAGTGCACCCAAAAAACAGAAAACACAACCACACTCATCTCTTCTCTCCTTTTCCCCACACACCTCATCGAACACCCGTCACGATGCTCTCGAGAAGACTTGTCGCGACTGCGCGCTCCGTGCCGCTGCGCCGGTACCAGCCGCGTTCGCTGCCGCTGCAGCTTCCCCAGATGATGCAGCACGTCCGCAGCTATGCCGACAAAATCGTCCAAGTGCCGCAGATGGCTGAGTCCATTTCCGAAGGTACCCTGAAGCAGTGGTCGAAGCAGGTCGGCGACTTTGTAGAGCAGGATGAGGAGATTGCCACCATCGAGACTGACAAGGTAGCTTTGTTCATCTGGTGTCTCTGGGGAAAACATGACGTTCCTATTGCTGACCGCAGTTCTTTCTCTTGTCGCACAGATCGATGTTGCTGTTAACGCTCCCGAGGCCGGTACGATCAAGGAATTTTTGGTCAACGAGGAGGACACCGTCACTGTCGGCCAGGATATCGTCAAGATGGAGCTTGGAGGCGAGAAGTCCAGCTCAAGCGAATCCAAGCCTGCCCCAGAGAAGAACTCGGAGCCCGAGTCAAAGCCAGAGTCCAAGTCAGAATCGAAGCCGGAACCTAAGAAGGAGGCGCCCAAGGATGATGCGCCCGCCAGTAAGCCCGCTGCCCCGGCAAAGGAGACGTCAAAACCTGCTCCTGCTCCCGAGAAGGAGTCGGCAACCAGCGCTGCTCCGGCGTTTGGCAGCCGTGAGGAACGTCGCGTAGGTCTTCCACCCAATCTTCGCGTGCAATCTTTTCCATGAGCAATAGAGCTGACTGGGCGTCTTCGCAGGTGAAAATGAACCGTATGCGCCTCCGAATCGCCGAAAGACTCAAGCAGTCGCAGAACACAGCGGCCTCGCTTACCACCTTCAACGAGGTTGACATGTCCTCCCTTATTGAGTTCCGCAAGCTTTACCGCGATGACGTCCTCAAGAAGACTGGTGTCAAGCTTGGTTTCATGAGCGCCTTCTCTCGCGCTTGCGTCCTGGCCATGCGCGATATCCCGGCCGTCAACGCCTCCATCGAGGGCCCCAACGGCGGCGACACGATTGTATACCGCGACTATGTCGACATCAGCGTTGCGGTCGCCACTGAAAAGGGTCTCGTCACCCCTGTCGTGCGCAACACCGAGTCGCTGGACATGCTCGGTATCGAGAAGGCCATTGCCGACATGGGCAAGAAGGTATGGACGATGACCCTACTACGTCATCGAGGTTCAACGCTAACATGGAGCTATCACAGGCCCGCGACAACAAGCTGACGATCGAGGACATGGCTGGCGGTACCTTCACCATCAGCAACGGCGGTGTCTTTGGCTCGCTGATGGGCACCCCCATTATCAACCTTCCCCAGACTGCCGTCCTCGGACTCCACGCAGTCAAGGATCGCGCAGTGGCCATCAACGGCAAGATTGAGATCCGCCCCATGATGTACTTGGCGCTTACCTACGATCACCGCCTTCTTGACGGAAGAGAAGCTGTTCAGTTCTTGGTCAAGGTCAAGGAGTACATTGAGGATCCCAGACGTATGCTTCTGTAAGGGAAGCAGCGCTTTTACGCGTTGAAACACAACATACACATGATTGAGCATTGCGACGATTGGGAAGAGCCATTGTACTACTACACACTAAACTAAGACGGAATGCGACACTAGGATTTCTGGGAGTGTTCATTTTGCCAATGAGTGATTTGTACACATAATGCTCGATGCCATCAGGCTGAAGCAGATGGGAGTAATGGTCTCAATGGAGCTAGCTACCTTACGAATACAGAAGGCGGTGCGCAGTAGTCTGAAAGCATCGCGTAGACCGAAAAAAGGACTCGCAATCACAGACAGTTGCATGTATGCGAGATTGGTGGTCCAAAGACCATAAGAACTAGGTACCGAACAATAAAGATTCAAACGCATCGATCCATCATGACGAAGGTGCATGGTACGCTGGGCATAAGTGCCGCCTTTCCGTAGGTTCCTGTCCTGTCCACCAGTGAGCGTGCGCTGTGAGGAAATACAGTGGGTTAGCGGGTAGAGTGGTCGGCACCTTACCTCTAAGACCCGACGGGACACCTTTGCGCGACCAAGAGGTGTCACTCACTGGCCCGCTCCAGCTGGGTCAGAAAGTCCACATCATCGAGATTCCTTAGGTACCTAGTCTCAGTTGCTGGTTGCTCTTGTCTCTCTTGTTATTTTTCCTACATCCCACGCCGTCACAGTACAACTGTCATTCCTCAAAGCTGCTGGGGTTTGAGCCAGAGCACCAGTCTTTGCAAGCCTCCTTCAGTCTTTTCCCTCAAAGGTTGTTGACCCCCGAGGTTTGCGACCTGTTCGTCCCGTCCCACGTCGTTTGCTCGAAACCGCCGGATCCACACTGCGACAATGCTGAGGGCGTAATATGAATGTTCGCGACCCTTTCAATCTACATCAGAACTCCGCCCTTAGCGTTTTCAAAATCACGGCCGCCCGAGCTGCCCATAACATCAAAGAAAAAGCAGTCGAAGCCGGAGCCACTGCGCTGAACGACATGTCTTTCAATGTCCCAAAGAACGTTCCCTCCTTCAGCAATCCCCAGCGACAACTCGAGGACAGATATTGGGGTGCCTCTGCCAACAGCAGCCGATCCTACCGTGGAGGCAACACTGGTATCTTCCACGGTGTGCAGGGGCGGGTAGAAGACCTTCTTGGTACCAAGGGCCAGCTTCCCATGTACAAGGACAAGCCCTATGCCCACCACGCAAGCCGGAGGTTTCGGCCTCTCTGGCGGCGGAAGCGCTCCATCCTCGTCACCCTCCTCTGCTTCGTAACAGGCCTCTGGTTCTTCGGCTTCTTCTCAGAGGGCTCCAAGGCCCGCGAATCGGCAACGACATGGACTGGCTGGCTTGGTGTGACAGAGCCCACGGGCAAGAAGGTGGACTGGCTCAAGAGACGGGAGAGAGTAGTTGAGGCCTTTGAGCTCAGCTGGGATGCCTACGAACGCTATGCCTGGGGTAAGACTTTGAACTTGCTGGTAACATTGTGTTCGTTCATATGGAGCTCGGAAACTAACAGCCGAATTTGTTCACAGGATACGACGAGTACCACCCCATTGCGAAGACCGGACGACAGATGGCACCCAAGGGTCTTGGTTGGATTATCATCGATTCGCTCGACACCATGATGTTGATGAACTTGACATCACGCCTGAGCCATGCGAGGCAATGGCTTGCCAACGACTTGACGTGGGATCAAGACCAAGACGTCAACACATTCGAGACAACCATCAGAATGATGGGTGGCCTTCTCTCTGCGCATTACCTGTCCACCGAGTTCCCCGAGCTGGCCGCGATCAAAGACGACGACCCAGGCGCGCCTGGTGAGGACTTGTACCTGGAAAAAGCAAAAGATCTGGCCGATCGTCTGATGAGCGCCTTTGACTCGCCGTCAGGAGTTCCCTACGCCAGCGTCAACCTGGCCACCTACAAGGGCATCGTATCCCACGCTGACGGCGGCGCCTCTTCGACCGCAGAGACAACGACACTGCAGCTCGAGTTCAAGTACCTAGCCAAGCTGACCGGCGAAAAGGACTTCTGGGACAAGGTCGAGCGGGTCATGAAGGTGGTTGACGATAACGGTGCTCAGGATGGACTTGTCCCCATCTACCTCTACGCCACGACGGGAGAGTTCAGGGGAGACAACATTCGCCTGGGCTCCCGCGGAGACTCGTACTATGAGTACCTGATCAAGCAGTATCTGCAGACGAACAAGCAGGAGCCCGTCTACCTGGAGATGTGGGACGAAGCCCTAGCAGGAGTCCGCAAGCACCTGATAACCTACAGCAAACCCTCTGGATTTACTGTTCTCGGAGAGCGCCCCTCTGGCCTGAACCACGAACTGTCTCCAAAGATGGACCACCTTGTTTGCTTCATGCCCGGTACCATTGCTTTGGGAGCGACTGGAGGCATTCCCGAGGCAGAGGCCAGGAAATTACCCACATGGAACAAGAAGAAGGACGAAGACATGAAGCTGGCCCGCGAGCTCATGCAGACGTGTTGGGGCATGTACAAGTGGATGGCGACAGGGCTTGCCGCCGAGATCACCTATTTCAACATCGACAACCCACCTGCATCTCCCTCGGCCTCGCATCACCCACCCAAGGACTTTGATCCGGATCCGCATGCCAAGTGGCGACAGGACTTTGAGGTACACTCTCAGGATGTCCACAATCTCCAACGACCAGAGACGATTGAGAGTGTCTTTTACATGTGGAGAATCACTGGCGACATCAAGTACCGTGAATGGGGCTGGGAGATGTTCAAGTCGTTTGTCAACTACACCTCGGTCGAGGATGGTGGAGGCTTTACGAGTTTGAGCGACGCCAACACGATTCCCCCAGTTACGCGTGACAACCTGGAAAGTTTCTGGATGGTAAGTGGAACTCTACTTGACTGCTAAGCCATGGTAACTAACACGGTGTGACTAGGCCGAGACGCTAAAGTATTTCTACCTCCTGTTCTCACCGGATGATTTGTTGCCCATGGACAAGGTCGTCTTCAACACGGAAGCGCACCCGCTCCCCCGGTTCGATATGGGCAAGCTCTTCAGCACAGGCTGGCAGCGCAAGCCAAGAGACGCCAACGGAAAGCTGATTGTAGAGAAAAAGGAGGAGCAAAAGGAACAAGCATGATATCATTGATGTAGGCTCACCTGTGATGGAAGTCAGGGAGAGCATGTTTATATAAAGTAGCATGTCTTTGTCGTTGGAGGCATCGTATTCAAACGACACAGTCTGGCGTTGTATGGGATGATGATTTAGCTGTTGTACAAAATACTGCTCAAACATGGGCTAATGTATCTCTCAATGGTCTTGCTACCACTGCTTTTTGACGTCCTTTCTGCACTGCCAGAATTGCAATGCTTTACAGCTATTCATGGCAGTAATCGCTGACTATAAAGGCATACTTCCACAACTCCCTGCTCGCTTGTAAGGACTTGACGCCGCCGCACATACGGTTCTGAGATAAGGGATAATGCACTTTGTATTCTACCTAAGCACCCTAGGTATTGGAGGTATGTGCCTCGATGCATGTGGGGCGTGGGATGACAACCTGCCTCAATCTGTGCGCCTGTCAAACATTGGGTCTGAGGCGAAGCTGCAAACAGAGTTGCGAACAGACTGCAAGCAGGGCATGGCACCTGCATATTGAACAAAGTCAATTGGGAGTTTTGCTTCGGCGCTCAGCAGGTGTGTCATCATTATTCTCGAGTCTTGGAGAGGGGAACGGACGACTGTGGGCGAATGTTGACTTGAGCAAATATCCCTACATAGTAGACGGTAACCCACGATGCGAGCAGAGAAACGGTCTCCCCTGTGGAGCCATCCAGCTTCCTAGTTGGACGATCTATGGCTCCCAGTCATGCTGCCTCCATTTAGTCTCCATTAAGGAACCCCAGACAAGCACAGGCCCGTACCGATTGCAACAGTGGGCATTGGGTAAGCGAGAGAGATGGAGTGAGAGGCACGGACGGGCAAGAGGGAGAGATAGCGGAAGTGGATTCATCTCTGATTAGGGCGACTTTGGGGGGGGGGGGGGGCGCAAAGTTGGGGGGCAGGCACACTGACAATTCCATTTCCAAGTGCAACTGCCCATTGCCAAGGGACAAGTGAAGGATTCGAGCCTGGCCCAGCCATGACCACCTCTCCCCTCATTCGTCGGCGCCAGTGTCGCACCCTTAAGCCGAGCCAGTTCATCCTGTCGCCGACGTTCTGAAGGACCGAAAGAGGCGACTTGGAACTCATGTCTGTCAGTCGGGGGGGTATCCTTGTCACCAGATTAGACCAGCAAGCCATCCCATCCTGTCACCTTTCAACGCCAATGCGGCAACTGCGCTGGTCGGCCCAGCATGATAAGCCTCACCACACACGCTCAGTCACCCAACCCCTTTAGGTGGCGGTAGTCCGTCGCTTTTCGTCGCAACGACTAGTACACGGAAACGTTGTCCTTCTCCTGGTGTGCGGCATAGACTTCAAGGCCGACCGGTTTCCTTAATCCGCGAACTCTCCACGCTCTCTACCGACGATTACGCCAATACTTCGAGACGATCTGCAGGCATCTTATCGGCGTCAGACCCTGCTTCTACGCATCCAGATACCCTCGGCAACAGGCATGCGATTCTCGACGGAGGTGACCGATGCCTAAAGCGCGCCAAGTCTCACCGAACGAGCGACCCGACATACGAACGCCATATCTCACGATCGACCGATATACACGATAACAATTCGAACAAACGGCCAGGCACAGAGCCAGACTCAACAGTATCACCTGTGACGAGCGGTGTAGACGGCGACAACGACCCCCACTAGTCTTGATATCTACCATTTACATACCGACACGCTACGGAAACGGGGATGGCGCCGTACAACGAGGACGTGGAACTCAGTGCGATCAAGATCAAGGAAGATTCCCTCACCCTCGGGAGCAGCTATAGCATGCGGCGGGAACCCATCTACGACCCGAGCCCCGCGCCGGGTGTCTTGAGCCGCGTGCTCGAGAGCTTCAGGCGCGCGCCCTCGCAAATGTCCGATGGCAGCATCCACAGGCCAAAGAGCAACTCATCTCTGGACCTCGAGCCCGGCCACGAGAGAGTGCTGAACGGCGTGCACTACTACGATATCCGACTCGCCAACCTACAGACCTCGCACTCCCTCCTCTCGCGAAAGCTCAAGGGCCGGCATTTGCAGATGATTGCCATTGGCGGTTCCATCGGCACGGGACTGTTCGTGGCTTCTGGACAGGCGCTCGAGGTGGGCGGGCCGGCGTCATTACTGATTGCCTTTTCGCTCGTGGGCGCAATGTTATACTGCACTTGTCAGGCTTTGGGGGAGTTGGCTGTTGCTTTCCCCGTTGCGGGTTCGTTCTCGGCATACTCCACGCGATTTCTGGACCCATCGTGGGGTTTTGCCATGGGTTGGAAGTGAGTATGCGCAGCACCTGCGCGCATCATTCGTGAGCGCCATGGAGAGAAGAGACCGCTGACGAAATACTACAGCTATGCACTGCAATGGCTTATTGTACTACCTCTCGAAATCATTGCGGCTGCAATCACAATAACGTACTGGCAAGAGGGCATAACCAAGGCTTACTTTGTCACCATCTTCCTTATTGGTATCGTCGCTATCAATCTCTTTGGTATTAAAGGGTATGGCGAAGCCGAGTTCATATTCTCAATTATCAAGATCATTGCGGTGATTGGCTTCATGTAAGTTTCCGTCTTCTCTCCGTTGCTACAGGGGTCTAATTCTGATCACCACGCAGCTTACTAGGGATCGTTCTCAACTGCGGCGGGACTCCAGACTCGGGCTATATTGGCGGTCGCTTCTGGCAAACACCGGGGGCATTCCACAATGGCTTCAAAGGCCTCTGTAGCGTCTTTGTCACCGCTGCCTTTGCTTTCGCCGGTACTGAGCTGGTCGGTCTGGCAGCGGCCGAAGCGGCGAACCCTCGCAAATCCCTCCCAACCGCCATCAAGCAGGTGTTCTGGCGCATTACCCTATTTTACGTCGTGGCCCTTACTCTAATTGGGCTTCTTGTGCCCTACGACGAGGCCCGTCTCCTCGGTGCTTCCTCCTCCGCCGATGCGACCGCTTCCCCCTTTGTCATTGCCATCGAGAACGCCCAGATTGATATTCTGCCCTCCGTCATGAACGCCGTCATCCTCATCGCCGTCCTTTCCGTCGGTAACTCTGCCGTCTTCGGTTCCTCTCGAACCCTCGCCGCGCTGGCGGACCAGCACCAGGCCCCGCGTTTCCTCTCGTACGTCGACCGTAAAGGTCGCCCTCTGACGGCCATCGGCGTCGCGTCTGCCGTCGGTCTCCTCGCCTACCTCGCCGACTTGAAGCAGCAGGACCAGGTCCTCGACTGGCTCCTCGCCATCTCGGGCCTGTCATCCATCTTCACCTGGGCTTCCATCTGCCTCTGCCACATCCGCTTCCGCCACGCCTGGGCCCGTAAAGGCCACGGCCTGCACGAGCTCGCTTTCCGCTCCCAGGTCGGCATCATCGGCTCGTGGTGCGGTCTCATCATGAACGTCCTCGTGCTCATCGCCCAGTTCTGGGTCGGTGCTTTCCCCGTCGGCTGGGAGACTTGGGACGCCGAGTCCGTCGCGAAGAATTTCTTTTTGCGGTACGCCGCGTTCCCCATCGTGGCCATCATGTACGTCGCGCACAAGTTTTACTTCCGGACCGTCTTTATCCGCATCGAGGACATGGACGTCACTACGGGCCGAAGAGACTTTAACCTTGGTATCCTGGTTGCCCAGGAGCAGGAAGAGAGGCGGTCGTGGCCTAGGTGGAAGCGCGTGTACAAGTTTTTGTGTTGAAGCAGCAGCTCGTGTGTTTTGGGGGAGGTTGCTGCTATTATCGACGTACAAAAACGGTTGAAGAACCTCTTTTTTACTTTTTTGATGTTTTCTGGATATGGAAGCGAGGGGTATAAACAGCGTGGCGTATGGACATCCTGCGGGGGGAGGCTGATCTTGGTACTTTACACTTTTCTTCTGACCGTTTATGTTGATGCCGTGGTATACTCTATGCCCAGGTGATTGGAGATATCCGCCATATTTGGATGACCAAAGATCATCACCAGAAAGAATGGCTTCTATTAGAATGGGGATGACACAACACACAGTTCCTGTCTGCATCATGGATCCTCACGGGTAGCGCCTAAATCGTGACATCCACTGTATAGCCACTGTCAGAAAAGGCAACTGTAACATCATCTAATACCCGTTCACAGTGACAGTAGTCAGCTACTCTTCACGAGGTTCAGGTGCCGTGATTTTACAGTCGGCGCGTGAGTTCTACCAGCATCGTATCAATCCTTCCCAGTAGTGTTGTTTGCCAAGAAACCGAGTAGGTAGAAATGTGTTCGGTCTGTTGGATATCATGGGCTATGTCTGTACAACAATACAAGCGGTAGAGGAACCTATTTTGAACCTTCTTCCTCGCCCTCCGCTCGCCCCTACTTCAAAACGTCTCCTCCATCTTCACCTCTCTGCCTTTCTCTCCTCTCTCTCATGGGTGGTACAGCAATTTTACATCCAGGTATTCTTAGCCAGATATCCTACTTCCCGTAGTCCGAGAACCACTCCATCACGCGACAGCATGGTGGAAGGATGACTAACCGGGAAAGGAACAGCACACTGGCAGCATCAAAACGCTCCCGTGAATCATGGGCAGCGTGGCACAATACATTTAATCGTAACAAGAACAGACAAGACACCGGGCCAGTGGCGCTGACTTCATCCTTTGAGGAATGCCAGGGTGTCCGTCCGTCGCGCTTAGAAGTCCCAAAAGCTCTTCTGGGCCGAGGTCAAGCCAGAGCCACCTTTGGGAGGAACGGCCTTGGGAATGTCCTCGAGGTCGTCATCTCCGTAGAGCCAGTTGCGGTTGGTGCCCTTCTTGCCACCCATGCCGTCTCCGGCGATGTGAATGCCCTTCGAGTCGCCCTCCTTCTCCTCTTTGACCTTCTTCGAGCCCATGCCGTCTCCAGCGATGTGAATACCGCCCTTGCCCTTTGAGGGCACCTGGGGCTTGTTCTCCTTCTGAGAGGCGGGAGACTCGTCATATGAATCCCAGTGGGAGTCCATGTTGCTCACCACCTTCTTGCGGGAGTCGCTGACTGCGGG